TAAGAGGTTGCATCTTAGTGATTAAGGGCACAGACCCCAAGAACTAGCTGCCTGAGTTAAAGTATAGTTCTAGTCCTTAATAGATGTGTGATCTTGGACAAGTTCTAAACCTCTCTGTGTCTCAGTCTCCCTATGGATAAAATGATATAATTTTAATAATAAGTTCTACATCATAGAACTATTGTGAGGATGATTTAATGCACAAAAGCACTTAGAATGATGCCTACCACAGAGTAAGCATCTAAAAATGTTAGCTCTTGTTAATATTGTGGACATTTTTCTATATATGTACACATTCTGAAAGTGTTGCAAGTCTACTATTAACTTTGGAGGTCTCTCTTTATTCTGAACATATTTCTATAAAATTGACTATGAAATTTTTATTTAATTTAATATTTCAATTTCTTAAACTCCGCATGCAGCCTGATCTCCACCTACTACATGACATTCAGGTTTTTCCCCTGACATTTTATTGACTAGACTTCAGCTAGTGAACTTGAGCTTGCTTTTTCTTCAGAGTGGTTTCTTCCTCCCTCTGGGACACTGTACAGTGCTTCACTGCCCAGTCGTTTGAGAGAGCAGGTCTTAAGATGGAGCTGTAACTCCAATACGTTTAGCTCTTGTCTCTATCACGAGACCTTTAAGATGTTCACACAAAGAGCTTAGTTGGACAGGAACCCAAATACTTAATGTCCCATTTTGAGCAACCTGGGTTTTAGCCACAGCTGAGTCCTTTAAAACAAAAAACAAGTAGAAGGTATATAATATACAAAGTCCAGGTCTGTTGACAACTCCTTCAGCAAGTCATGTTTTAGATCTCGTATTTCTATTAATTAATAAGTTAGACACAATTGTCACATTATTTTTTTCCATATGAAAAGTAGATTTAAATTTCTCCACACGTATATGACACAGTATATGTTTCAAAGGATAAATACTTTGTGTTAGTGCCAACTTCACTCCTTGTTTCAAAACTGTAAGATTCCATCCCAGCTTCCTCCACACAGATGTTTGACTCTGTGCTTAGTTTTTTCTTTGTAAAGTAGAGATGTTATGAGAGAGTTAAATACATCAATGCATATAAAGCCTCTTTTAATTGCTACTAGAACTTCTCAAAATGTTATTTCAGAAGTTAAGATTTCAATATGGCAAAAAAATATTTTGGAATGAAGGTTTGAAAGCCCACATCCATAAGGTTTTGAAAGAGTCACAGCCTGCTGAATTTGTGGTGAAATTCCCTAATTACAGTTTGGAATGATCAAATTATTACAGAAAACATAATGGATACCCAGATAATAGTATTTGCTTACAAGTTTTTCTCATAAAAATCTTCAATTTCTTTAGTTTCCTTTAACTGTGGAGCTTTGACCCTTGAAAAATATTTTTAATGACATATAACAATGAGTTGTTCTACTGACCTTTATAAAGTGATTTTATTGTTATAATCTCTAGCTTATCTCTCATCCATAAATATACAGTAGCATGAACACACATATGTACATACATAGAAAGAGCCATGCTATTTGTTCTGTATGACCACTGGCTACAATGACAAATGTTGTAACCACAGGATTTGTGTAGGTTTTTTTCCTGTCTTTGTCCAACATAAATTATTTTCTCTTGCTAATAGTCTAAGATTACCACAGTGCAAATTTTGAGGAGTCCCAGTTCTACTTTCTGTATGATTCAGTAGTATAACAATTATATTTCCTTTTCAAAAACTAAACAAAACAAGACAACCCTCTGGGAAAGTGAAAACACTTATGAGTGATAGTATGCCTTCCTATTTGTAAAACCCTGAAATTCTCTAAAGCCTGGAGTTCTAGCAATTATTAGATCACAGTTACACTTTGTCAGGACTAAGTGTCTTACATCCTTTCTGGAAGAGAGGAAGACCCTAAGATTACAATGTATTTGAACAAGAAGGTGCTAACTTTGCATTATTTTCCATTCTTCTTCCTGTCTTTGTCGGGAGGATGGATCCATGCTGTGCCATTCTCTATTCTGGTTGCCACCTTTGTCATGAGAATGAGACACCAGAATCAGAATGTTTCCTGTGACATATAATAGCATGCTTTCCTACTCTCACCTCTCAGGATGTTGTATTTAGTTAGGTTAGAGCCTCTGAATCCCTTAGGGCAGGTTCAACATTCACCATTCATGCAGGGTGTCCTTTTTGCTTGTATTCATCGTAAAAGTATTTGATATCTTGGTCAGTTTTGCAGCCCTTCTCTATCTCAAACACACTCCTTAAAAAAACCATTATTATTTTTTATCATTATCAGGTCAATCACATGTCGCAGTTTGTGATATACAGAAACACCCACATGGTTTAATTATTAAAAAAAACCTGTCACTTAAAAATATTACAATATTCCAATTACACATAGGAATATAGAATAGCTGCTATGCTGTGGGGACAAGATGTGGTGTGATGGGCACTTAAAAGGAGTTCATTCCCTTGAAGATGTATTTATTTTGTATTTAGAAAATTTCTACTTCTTAATTTTCATTTTGCTTGGGGTATATTTTTAAATTACTCTTAAATTTGCCTCATCCAGGCTAAGATATAAATACTGAATTGTATTTTTAGACCATGCTTCTGTCCCACCATGGAAAATGAAACCTGCAGATATACATCCAAGTAACCATTTATTTTCCACAAATGTTAGGATATATGGAGCCAACATGATAAACATCTCTGTACAGTTGCATTTCCCAATATAGATAGCAATTCATACCCATGCAGGGCAAGGAAAGAGGACATGGTAAGCATGAGAAATCCCTTTGAATGTGAAAAATGTATATATAAGAAGGCAAAGAACCTTATGAATCTAGTCAAGGACACAACTAGCTGTGTTATATATGTGAGAAATATTTTTTGAGTAACTTTAGTTTTGAGTTTTAGTCTCTCTTTTTTTATTCTCCAGAAGAAATTGACCTAAAATTACATTGTACATGATCTTTTTCTAGGATAAAAACAATATGACTGTTACCAGTTTGGGCCAGATTAGTAGGGAAAACTGGAACTGTTTCAACAGAGAGTTTTTATTTATTTATTATTTATTTCTTTATTTTTTAAAGATTTTCTTTATTTGAGAGAGAGAGACAGCGTGAGAGGGAACACAAGCAGGGGGAGTGGGAGAGGGAGAAACAGGCTTCCCACGGAGCAGGGAGCCCGATGTGGGGCTCGGTCCCAGGACCCTGGGATCATGACCCGAGCCGCAGGCAGATGCCCAATGACTGAGCCACCCAGGCACCCCTCAACAGAGAGGTTTTAATGTAGGTAACTGGTGATTCAACTCTGGCTGACTGGGGAGCCAATGGTCTCTTACAGTGACGAACTCCTTGAGTCTTGGCCACATCCTCTACTTGGCCCCTAGACTAGGTTATCTCCCCTAGAGCATGTGTTGTATTGCCATCTCCTGCTGTAACCATGGTCGGGCATCCATGGCAGCTCCGTTGGCTCAATCTTGACTCCGTGAATTCTGTAATCCCTCTCCTTCAGCATAGTCAGGGGATCACATGATTCCCTTCATACGTTGTAGAAGCCAAAAGAAGAAGCTCAGGTGCACTAAACTCTTTTTCTGCCTAAGTATGATGGGTGCAGAGTTGTCTACCATGCATCTCCTGGTGGGTATGGGGCAATCCTATGCAGCAGTTCCTTTTAGATTCCCAAATAACGTCATGGAACAAACTGCCATTTCAAGGCCCCTTAATCCAACTTATTTTCTACTCTGGGCTTCTGTCTAAAGAGGGGGGGTACCAGGACATATGTTCCACTGGTAACTTCACTTTTCTGTTTTGTTCCATCGATATCCCTCACAACTCTGAGGGGCAGGCTTCTGTTCTGCTCTGGACCTTCTCTATGTCAAACCCTGTGTTGTAGCTCACCAGGTCTTTAGTGAATATATCGGGTCAATATATTCAAAGTTTGCAAGCCATTATTTAGAAAAGTATTCCTAGAGAAAACTTTGTATTAAAATATAGTTGTCTTAAAAAATATCTTTTGTTATAAAGATCAGAAACTTTATATTTTGCTAATCTTTCTGCTCTAAAGGTCCTAATTCATACCTCCCAACTTACAGTAAGTGGAAGCCTCGTTGTGAAGGACAAATATTATGTATAAGAAAATGGAATGAAAAAAATCCCCTACACTGTTACATTTCCTATTTCAAAGAAAACAAGCCTGGTTAAAAGAAGTGTCAGATGAAACTGAGGGTTCTAGAGGGGAGGGGGGTGGGAGGATGGGTTAGCCTGGTGATGGGTATTAAAGAGGGCACGTTCTCCATGGAGCACTGGGTGTTATGCACAAACAATGAATCATGGAACACTACATCTAAAACTAATGATGTAATGTAGGGGATTAACATAAGAATTTAAAAAAAAAAAAAAAAAAGGAAGTGTCAGATGAATAAGCCAGGATCCTAAAGTGAAAGCCTCTTCATCTACTCACTGCATCTACTCACTCCCTCAGTGGCTATGAAAAGTACTGGAGAAATGGAGAGAGCTGGGTTCTGAGTTTTGTTGCCTTATAGGCGTGAAGCAATAGATATTTAAGACAGTCTGATTGTGCCTCAAGACGCAAGAATGAGTATCTCAGGCAGAAATTGCAGGCTGCTACGTTAAGAAGTCATTCTCATGCTGAAAGTTATTTTTGAAGGGTGGTTCTGTAACTCAGTGGAGGCAGCTGATCCTTCACTCCAGCTTTTATCAGGAGGGCAGAGCACTTTCTTAGCAGTTCTGCTCATAGCCAATGTTAAGTTCAACTGAGAGGTCTTCATATCTCAGGAGGCCTGAGGATTCAGGGTTACTCTCATGGCTACCACTTCTTGCATTTCAAGGTCATGGCCTCCCAAATGTGGGTCAGCCAGGGCAAATGTGGTCAGGGCTAGTTCTAGCTCCAGAAACTGTGGCCAGCTTTCTGCAGAGCCTCCAACAATGGTGTCCTAGAGCTACTTAAAACATAACTCCATTGCTTGTTTTGTTTCCCCCCACCCAGGACAATGGGGCTTGTTTCCCAGATAGTTAATCATCCGAGGGACGCTACTCAAGTTATTCTTCCAAGAACAGGAGGGATCATCTAAAGGTAATTTGCCTTTTACATTTACATAGCTAAGAGGATACCATCTGATCAATTTTTGCCAGAATATGGAAGAGTTGCGCTCCTTTATAAAAGCTATTCATTTGAAATTTATGCATATGTCTGTATGGTTATTGGATTAATGTCTGTACTTCACTAGTTGTAAACTCCACCAGTGCAGGTGCCTTCTCTATTTGATTCACGTTGTTTTCCGAGTGCCTGATGACAAAACCTGACACAGAAGTGGACTAATAAATATTTGTGGAATTAGCAAATGAATTAGTCTACTCCAAGATAATGTTTATTCCTTGCTATATTGTCTACTATTTTGTCCTGTTTCTAGCTGAAGAAGAGAAGAAAAAAACACTAACTTAATCCCTGATGTGGTACTGTTTGAGATATTTTCCTAAAAATAGATAGTTATTGAAGTATAAATATTATAAATAATATAAATAAATAAAAATAAATATTTTAGGAAATGACATGAGTTAAGCATACTCTTTAAATCAGATAGACCCATCAGTATTTGTTATAGTGCATCAGACTGTGTTCTGCAAGACATCGGTTCTCTAGGATTTTGCTAGGTAATCTGTGGAAAACTTATTCCAAGGTCAAATGAATTTAGAAACAGTGGGACAAACAGTTTTCTTTATCGAAGTACTTTTCATAGCCACTGAGGGAGCAATATACTCTGGAATATTCAAACTTATTTAACCAGGGAATTGTATTTCTCTAGTAACTTTCCTAATACTTATATTCCATGTTGAAAATTAGTAGAAAACATTTTAAAATTTCAAACCTAAATTCCAGAATATAGTATAAAGCAATTGATTATGATCATATGATAGTAGTTCATATTGAAAGGATTCTATAACATTAAGGCTTAGTTTCAATCAGATTGTGAACTAGAGAGTAATTATGTTTTATTCATCCTTGTTGCAGACATCCTAGCACTTTCTAGTTCTTGGTACATAGCAGGTGTTCAATAAATATTTGTTTAATAGAGGAGACAGTGAGAGCTATATCAAACTAAAGTGTTTGCCATATTGAATGTAATAATTATACTGAATTAGCAATGTTTTTTGACAGTCTGAGACTGCTAATGCATGGAAATATGTGTTGTTAAAAGCTAAAAAAAAAATTTCTGGGGTGCCTGGGTGGCTCAGTTGGTTAAAGCGACTGCCTTCAGCTCAGGTCATGATCCCAAGGGTCCTGGGATCAAGCCCCACATCGGACTTCCTACTCAGCGGGAAGTCTGCTTCTCCCTCTCCCGCTCCCCCTGCTTGTGTTCCCTCTCATGCTGTCTCTCTCTCTCTGTCAATTAAATAAATAAATAAAATCTTAAAAAAAGAGCTAAAAAAAATTTCAACTCCGGAAGAAAATGTATAAGCACATTTTTTCTACAGAAAAGGAAAGAATAAAATAAAACAAATTTTATCCATGTATAAATGAATAATAACATGAAATTCTGATTAAGGAATAGAATAGGCTTCCTTGAAGATTCTACCCTATCTTGATTCATATAAACCAGATTCTTATTAGTAGTATATTTTACCGTGGAATAATTTAGTGGATTTGGCTTCCTAGTTTTCGTTCAGTTCTCTGGAGTTTATCCTGGTGAAATAACTGCATTTGGTGGCTGGCGGAGATTAGACTATTATATTCATTAGATTAGATCCAGGAGCCATCCGCAATTGGATGGGAAAATACACCTACAGGACACTGGACTACATCACAGTAATGATTATAACATCCCAATAATTGATGTCTAAAGTGGAGTCAAGAAATGATTATGACAAGAGCTTACTAATTATTTTTATGAGGTTTGTCCTCAAAAACTTGGGAATACATTTAAACATTCCTAATTCGACTTAATTAGCAACAATAGGTTCTTAAACATAGGTATTGGAAGATTTAATAGAAAGGCCTTTTATAAGCTACTGAGTTTTTCATTTTGAGGACTGTAATTAAGTAAAGAAGATCACAAGTGCCCTATTTTGCCTCAGTGAGTTGTTGAGGGAAAATGTGGTTATATGTAAATGCTTTAAGGTACACAGTGTGCTACACAAATGAAAGAAACATTTTGTATTAATTCACCTGGACAGTTCTTGGAAATGTATTTTTAAGGTATACATTGTACTCTGGAAGGAAATGGTTATTTACCTGATCTGCTGCCTTTCTTTTAGTCTGAGGGGCATCTAAGGATTTGACCCTTGGTTGAGTTATCCTCCTTGACACATGAATACAGGGACTATGTTAGTGTGTGCCAGATGCAAGATAAACAAGAGTCCTGCTAAGATTGATATATAATGAATGATGCACATATACTTGGGGTTTCTAGACTGTTTATTGAGTAACCTGTAATTGATGAGTAATCAGCTACATCAGAGATGGCATTTAGTTCCATACTTCTGAGAGGGTTATACGTCTAGCAAGGTGGAGAGTCTAGCAAGGTGGAAAAATCAATGGGACCCTGAAGCTGTTGGCTTTTGCAAATCAAGGTAGTCCATACTCGCTAGACCTCAGCTTTCATAATCACATACATCCCATCTTAGAGAAATTGGGACATTTGACAGCTGTAGCTGGGAGTCATGAGCATCTGCTCTGTGTTTCCTGTGCATGTCTGTCCTGCATGCTTTGTTAGAGGCTCTGTAAAAGCCTATTCTTAGAGGCTGAGTGAAGCCTATTTTGTCTCTTGATTTTGATGAGCAAGTCAACCCCAAAACCACTGCTGTTGGTCAAGCATTGTGTGTATTATCCTATGGAAAAGATCTTATATATATTGTGAAACCTCCATTTGAAGATTCTGCTAAATTTTTAATATTCTAGGATTTGAGGAAAAAGAGTATAAAATTCATGTATTACTCTCCTAGGGCTGCTGTAACAAATTATCACAAACTGGGTAGTTTAAAACAGCAACAATTTATTGTCTGCTATTTCTGGAGGTTAGAAGTCCGAAATCCAGATGTCAGCAGGACCATATCATCCCTGTCAAGGCTCAAAGGGCGGATTCTCCCTATTTTATAGTGGTTATGGGCTGTTGTTGGAATTCCTTGGCTTGTAGATGCATCCCTTCAATCTCTGTCTCCTTTGCATGGCATTCTTTGTGCGTGTGTCTGTATCTCCCTCTTCTGATGATGATGCCATGAATCACTGGATTAGGGTTTACCCTAATCCAGTATAACCTCATCTTAATTTGATTAATGAGAAGACCCTATTTATAAATATGGTTAAATTTACAGATTCCTGGAGTTAGGACTTGAGCATATCTTTTGGGGGACATAATTCAATCCATAATAATTCATTATATGATAGATTTCTGTGACAGTCCCTTTAACTTTGTTCATCATTGATTGCTTGATGTATTTATGCATTCAAAGATATTTATTCAGCTGAGTATTTTTCTAGGTGCTTAGAATAAAGTAGCAGATAAAATACATATGCACCCTTACCTTTATGGAGCTTATTAGATTCTAATGAAGGCAGACAGGAATTATATAAATAATTAAGTATAAAATTTGTCTGAGTGATAAGTATCAGGGAAAATAATAAAGCAAAGTAGGAAGCTCTAGGAATGCCAGATAGAGATTGCTGTTTTATATAGAGTGATTGGAGAAGGCTCTATGACATTCTCTGAATGAAGTAGGAAATCATGAGGGTTGGTGAGCAGGGGAATGAGAAGATTTTAGTCATGTTTTAGAAGGATCATGAGGCTTTTTATGAGAGTAGACTATAAGAGGGCTTAGAGATTATAATCAGTAAGTAAGTAACAAGTATCCTTCCCTCCTGAAAGTGGGAAGAGCATGGGAATTTATGGAAGTTATGGGAATTGAATATCTAAAAGATGATAATAGCTTTAAACAAGCTAGTAATGGAAGTGATGAGAAGTGTTGGGATTCTAGTTATATTCAAAAAATTGAGCCAAAAAGATTTCCTGATTTTTGACCTGATCAACTCAAAGTATGAAGTTTCCATTTCCTAAGACAGCAGGATGAGCCAAGTATGTGTGTATGTTTGTGTGTGTGTGTGTGTGTGTGTAGAAAGAAGGCATGTAGACTTTCAGTTTTTGATATGATAGTTTTAAGATGAATATTAGAAACCCAAATGGAGATATTAAGTTAGGAGTTGGATACACAAATGTAGGGGTCAAGAGAAAGTGAGAGCTTAGAGGTATAAATTTTTAAGTCATAGTAAAATTAAATTGTGGTTATAAGTTGTAAAACTAGATGAAAATAGCTTCCCTAATAAATCATTTGACAAGTTCTACAGTGTTTGCAAAGTTACATCAGGTATGGTAATCTCAATATCTAAGACATTTCTTTCTTTAAACTTGAGATAATATTTTCTCAATAAATAGGCCTTTATGCTCTGGAGCTATTTACTAAAGCTGATTGCAGAAGGAAGTGTATTTTATAGGAGGTATTAAAATGGACTAGCCAGTTGACTTTGGATAATTTTCTTATACCCAGTTAAGCAATGACATGAACTAGCTGATTTATTGAGCCCTAATCCACCTCTGTTATTCTAGTCACTAACTTTCTCCTAATTTGAATTCAAATTTGTTTTCCTCCACTGTATTTTCAGGACACTTGCCAGCACAAAGTGGGATGTCAGGTTTCTTTCCCATCTTTATTGGACCATCATTTTCAGACAGAAATATGATGTTAAAAAGTATTGTTCTTTGTAACTTTACTAATGCTTTCAGCATAATTAAAAAATAGGCTTCTTACTGTTTATTTGCACTGCTTCCCCACCTTATTCTCAATGCTGAAATCCTTGTCTGACCTTCTTTTTTATTAAATACACTTGAATGTTAGTCATGATTTTCTTCACCAAGGCCAAATTTTCAGTGACCTTATCCATGAACTATCTCTTGATAAGTAAAGAATGTAAGTGCTAATCCAGTTCCCATAGTTCAGTGTGTTTTCTTGGTTGTACGATGATTTTTAATGACAGTGTTTACTATTTTTTCCTTCATATAAAACATTGAAGGGGATTTCTTGAGT